GAAATGGAGGATTTCCTGCCCTTACATGGTGCTGTTCAAGGATTAAACACATAACAGATGAAAAAAGAAAATCACACAGTCAACTGACCAAATGAAAATTAGAGTCAAGCAGAAATACGCATTAAAAACTGCAGGAAAGGGTGGGCCTTTAAAATGCACACACTCACAGAGTCTCTAATCAATCGGGGTGATGGGTTCCAGAACTGTGGAACTGCACACAAGGAAATTGTGTTTCCCATTGTGTGAAGCCTGATTTTGGGGTAAAAGAAGAATACTTCTATCAGCAGATCTCTGATCATGTGTTGGGCTATTGCCATACAATTATCCTTTAAGTTAACCTGAAGCTGGACCATGTACTAACTTATAAGTAAGCAGGGAACTGTTGAAATCTACTCTAAACTTCAAAGGAAGTCAAAGCAATGGACAGAAGGTACAGTACATACTGAGGCAGAGCAGTTTTAGTTTTCAAGTGAGCCTCCGAGCTCTTGACATGCTGACGCCTATTCTGAATCTTGCTACAGTCAGAAAAGAAGGAGCCACTGCAGTCTGAGCTCGATGACGTAGGGGCACGTATCCATCTTTCCGCATTGGATTCACACTGCTCCGTGTGCGGTTTTGCTCCGGCTCGGAGCTTTTCACTCAGCTTAATTCGATACACAGTACAAACCGCAGGTTGAAAAGGGGGAGTCTTTATCAGAGCGCTGCGGTGCTGTGAAGACAGTGGAAAGAAAAGACTTTCTGAAAGCGTGGAAGCCTCTGGGTATGGATTTCAGGCAGGTGGATTAGTGCGCCTGCAGGGCACGGGGAGAGAATCAGTCAATCTGGGGCTCTCTCTGCGCCGGCTGGGCCACCCCCTTGTTCTAAGGAGCAGGCGTCCTCTCTCTTTTCTTGCCGTGAGGAATGTGACAGAACAATAGCTCACCAAACACTCCTCCCCAAACCTCCAGGCTCAGCAAGCCCTGACAGGAGACAAGCAGTGCACCTTGCACTTCAGTAACTCTCTCTCCCAGCCACCCCCTCCCCCACTGAGGCAAAATACCTTTGGCATATTTTGCAATTGTCTGGAATACAGGTGATTATTTTTGTGCCAGGTGCAAGAGAAACACACCCAGTTCTGAACGTGCAGAGAGAAGATGTCCCGGCCTGTTTTCTGTTGTCTCCTTCTCAGCTTTTCCAGAGCTTAGAGGTGGAATTTGGAGCATGTGGCAAGCAAGTAGAAGACCCTTTGTTTTGATAACATGACGAAGATTTACGTGGAGGGATGGGTTAAACTCCAGCCACAGTGCTCAACTGCCAGGCATCTTCAGTAGGTTTAAGGAGTCCACAGGAGAGCTGTTATGGGCAGTAAGGCTTTCTCTTGCTGTTAGCTTCTGACATTCTTCTGTTTTATGCTGGATAATGAAAAGGGAATTTTGCTGGATATCAACATTGAAGGACAAATAGGACCCCTTTGATAATTAGTGATATTTAGCGCAGAAACTAAACTGCAATTAAAAACTCCAAACTAGAGAGAAGAGACATGGAGAGTCATAAACTAATCATAAACCCTGTTTGGGGTTCAGTCTGGGGTTCTACCCCTGTTTGTGTAGGTTTCCTCCCACAGTCCAAACACATACTGGTAGGTTAATTGACTTCTGGGAAACGTGGTCTTAGGTGTTAGTGTGTGTGTGCCCTGTGATGAACTGGAGTCCTGTCCAGGGTGTATCCTGCCTTGTGCCCAGTGTTTGCCAGGGTAGACTCTGGCTGCCCCACAACCCTAAATTGGAGGAAACGATTAGAACATGGATGGATGATTACAGACTAGCAGTTCCAGCTGCAACATTCAGATCTGGCACAGGGGACAATAAGACCCTAGAGTTTGTTGGGAACTTGAGGAAGAAAATCTGATGGCAACTAATATTTTGCCAGACTGTTTCGAGAGAAGGGATAAGAAGGAGGATAAGGGAAAGTGTGGATATGTTCTGAAACTCCAGTAATAAGACCTAGGCTTGATGTGGGAAGCTGGCAAGGCAGGATGTTCTCTGAACCTCCCCCCCAATGGGGTCATTTCCTGTCTCTTAGTCAGCTTGGTTTATTTATCTAAACGTGTCGCTCCAGGGCAGGAGATGGTTCCATTCACAAAGTGGCAGTGAAATCACAGTAAAACACTCACTCAACAGACTTTTCCTGATAGACTTTACTACTGAGGCAGTGAATCACTTGCTATGAAGTTTCCAACATATGCAATAGTTCAATAATAAGGATTGCAGGTGCTGAGATGTCAAATATTCAAGTATTACATTTAATTTTACTTTAATTGAATTTAATCAACATTTACCCTGCCACCATTGTATTTTTGATTAAAGACCTTTTCTGCCTCCAAACTCTGTGCACAAATCCTTTCTTCAACATATGTGTGAAAACATACATTTATTTCTGTTCAGTGTTTCACAGTATAAAATGTTTTAGAGCTGCCTGATATTTAATGTTTTGATTTCAGAATATCCATCCATTATAGGAAAAGCAGCGTATTCGGGTAAAAGTCAATGCCTATCCCTGAAGCATTGTGCACAAGGCATGACTGAGAGCACGGGACTGCTCTCATCCTGTGCAGGATGCCAGTCCACCACTGGACCATGTAGAAAGGGAAAATTTAGAACTGCCAATCAAGTCTAATGCGTGACCCGGGGAAGAGGGGGCAAAACTGCAGGCAGGGCCTGGAAAAAATCCTGTGTTTTATGAACAGAACTGACAGAGCAGCATAGGAACAGAAGGAAAGACAATGTTTCTGAGTAGCACTAACCACCTCAATACTGTGTTGCCCTCTTTACACTGTGTTTCTATCAAAGCATAACAAGTATTTTACCTGCCAGGCACAATACATAAAATAAGGAACAAGATATAAAAGATCTGCAACTACAGCAATGGTCATTGATGTCCCTTCTTCATTGGCCTTATTTTGATCCATGTCTATTAATCAAATGAACAGTGTTTTCTGCAGAGGCACCTAGTGTCTATTTCAGCAAGACAGAGTCCTCCTGCTTAGCAGTGGCACATGTAGTAACTGGAACATTTCGATAAAGTACAAAAACCTTCTCTAGACCGCAGAGTGTTTATACCCTACTGGAAAACCTGCACTCAGTAAGAACTGGCTGAGGACTTTTATCAGGGCTGCAGGATGAGTCGTGTTTATGCTTGCCTGACAGCTTCTTCCTGTGTCCCAGACCAGGCTGTGCAACTCCAGTTGAGGGGAAGGTTGCTGTTAAAAAAAAATGTGCTCCCCACTCCAAACTAGGTCAATATAAACTGGCGGTTTCCTGCTTGAAATTGGCTCAGACTCAAGGATGTGAATTTGAAGATGTGAGGTCCACAGATACAGGAGACAGGAGATTCCTAGCAGCAGCTCAGAAACACTGTGCGAATGGTGCATTTTTTAAAAGTGCAGGCTGCAGTCCACAGCACGTTTGAACTCTGTGCTTACTTTGGGAGTCATAAGTGGTGATTTAATAAATGATAGAGTACATCTGTCACTTTAAACATGCAATCATCAAATCAACAGAAAACTAAAACTTTCTTTTGTCATGGCCATTTGCATGCAATGCCTGGGTGAACAAATTAGAGAGAATGGCCCATATGCAATTTTCTATGAAATGTGCTATGTATCTGTATAACATGTGTTTGTTCCCAAAGGTTTAGGAGTCTAGTGGTCTCTGCACCATTCTTTAAATATCACTGCAGCCTCAGCCCCACACACATCGAGCCTGTATTTATAATTCCTAAGCCTTTTGTGACAGACGTACTGTATCATACAGTTCAGGGAGTCCACAGCTATAATTCCCAAGCATCTTGCCCAATCCAAGAACATCTGAGTAGCACTGTGCAAACATAAATAGAGCAAGTGCTTAGAATGAAGACATTACACACTGCAATCGTGGGTGTCTGAAAATATTTGCAAACTGCTGCTGAAAAAACTAGCTGGAAATTCTTAAACTGTCTATTTAGAACTGAACTTTCATACCAGAGCAATATTCCCAGCCATCACCCAGAAAGAACATGACACCAGTTCAGGGCAGGTTGAAACATACTGTTAAAAAAAACCCTGTAAGAAATGTGTTTTTTTTCTTCCTTTATGAAAGTTTACCTTGGTAGATTTCTGGTTGATGAACACATTTTTACTGTGATTGGGTCATAGCTTTGTTATGGTTTCAACATGCCTTCACTCTGCTTAACTGCACTGAGCCACACGTAAATACCTTGATAAGTGTTTCTAACTAATGTTCAATACAGTCCAGCATGGCGACCCTAAGGTTTAGATTAGCAACGCGATTTACATTTTTTTCTTATCCGTCATTTCCATTTTCCAGAGTGCAATTTTAGAGCGAGCAGCTGTATCTAAAAGCCCTTTGTTATAACTCATTTTACAAGACAAAATAGCTCAAACTAAACACTAAGAAGGAGTTGCAAGTTTGAGCAGTTTTACTGCTCGATAGAGTGCACTGTCCCTTGGGAAAAAGTTGATAAATAATGCTTTGTGAAAAATGGACCCAGTCATAGGAGCTATCCCTTAGAATACATGATCATGCTGATATTTGAACAACCTTCCTAATTGTGGATAATAAGATCTGCTGTTGAGAGGTATCCATTGATAATGGGCAGGTGTGCATTCTGTGTCATTTTAATCACACATGCCTGCTCTGAACCGCCATCATTCTCCTTCCTGATCTGTATCCTCACTAAGTTTAACAGCAAAATATTTCAAAAATGGCAAAAACTAGATTTTTTACAAACATAAATTACTTTATTGAATTGGTATAAACTGAACAAGTACAAAAGTCTAAAGGTACAAAAAGCGATTGTCAAAAGAGATTGCACAGTATTTTGTAAAGCTCCAACCCTTACAAAAATGGAAGTATAAAATGTCTGGATGCTGATCCTTACCAGCTAAGATTCAGAAAGAACAAAACCATAATACAATATAGGAATCAAGCAGAGAGAAAATCCCTATGAAAATCCCTAAATAGAGCAGGTCCAGCTCTGCTACCTTTATTAATACACCTTCCTTAAAACAAATTCTAATACTGCAAAATGATAAGACTAACAAAGTATTTAAGAAATGGCACCAGGGAATACACCATTCGAGGTAACAGAAGGCACACCCTTGTTATTTCAAAGGGAATGGTTTTGAAATTACAGTATATCAAATACTGAAAAAGCACAGCAAGCAATATTTTGATTTACAGTTTATCTTATGTTTCAAGAGAAGTTTAAATAGTAACTGTTACATACTTATTTCCTGTCATTAGTCCTATGGCTTTGTGGTTGTGGGTGTTTCTTTTCTGAACGACAATGGTTTTAAATAAAATGCACTTGACCAGGATAGATCTTAAATAATGTGCCGTAGCAGCCTGAAAAGAAAGCCGTTGGTGAAAGACATGAAACGGCCACCAGGAAGCGTGGGTTTTCAGGGGTTGAGACAGGTGGACTTCTTTAGACAGGCAGTTAAAAGTGTCCCGGGATATTGTTCAGAAATGTCCAAGACAAGAGAGGACGGCTGTAAGTCACACACAATTAATCCCCACTTCTCCCACTCCCACCACTGTTTTACTTCTTCTTATTTGCTTTCCAGCAGAGAATTCACAGGAAGTCACCTGTCAGCAGTCCTGCGAAGGTCACTGACTGTGCACCTGTCAGCGCCCAGCCTCCACTCAGCGTTAGGAGGCAGCTGTCCCAATAAATTCCTTAGTGTGCGCTGCCCCTGACACACTGGAGAGCAGCTGTCTCATTGTGAGCCCCGGATTGCCACATTCGAACAGTCGCGCTGTCCGAGCCCCGTTCGAAAACTTAATAAAACACAAATACTCACTGTACCTTTCTATGAAAGAGACTGTATTCATGAACGATATTGAAATTTCCTTAAAACAACAGGCAGACTCAGACAGATGCGGGTCAGATTTGAGAAGTTCTTTTTTTTTTACCAGAAGGAAAAAAAAACCCAAGACCGACTGCAGTAAAAGCTCGACTCGATTACACAGTTATCCATTTCAGCTAGGACATTCCACATCCAGTATATTAGCCGTCTATGTCCTCCTTCACAGTGCCGAATCTGTGGGTGTCTCACATGACAAGCCTGGCAGCCACTGACACCGTGAGTCACTCGATAGGGGGGGTAGAGGGGTCAAAGGTTGAAGGTCATGATAGGTGGTGGAGGAGGAGGGGGGGGGGGGCAGGTCTGTTTGTTAAAGGCAGGCACAAGTGGCCCAGCAGTCCTCAGGCAGGCGAGCTTTTCCTAGGTGGAGGAGCAGCAGCCGGTCTCCGTGTGCTTGTGGAGCAGGGACATGCGGCTGAAGGTTCGAGAGCAGCCGCTACACTGGTACTTCTTCACCTCGGAGTGGGTCTGCAGGTGGGCGCGCAGGTTGGAGCGGTCGGCAAAGGCGCGGCTGCAGTGCGGGCAAGAAAACGGGCGCTCGCCTGGAAACAGAGGACGACAGGGAAGGTTGAGTGGGTTACAGAGCTCGGGTCCGAGAGAACCTCTCCCAGTGCCACGTAAATTGGAGAAGAGATGGGCAACGCATTTTCCCACTGGGCCTCTATTGACATAGGGGTAGGAATCCCAAAAATGTACTAATCCCTTCAACCTTATCTTTTTAGGACAATGATAGTGGCAAAGCAATTCCTGTTTATTGCCATCAAATTAGTGCAAAGAATCATCTAAGTGGGAGCAAGTGGGGCTCTTGCAGGAGCTCCTACAGCTCCAGCCAACAGTATGTAGTGTCTACTAACACATTTCTAAAATAACCATTGATAACTATGATCATATCTATGAAATATTAAATAACTTTAATTGTAAGCTTCTTTGGATAAATGTGTCTGACACATGAATACATGTAAACCAGGAGAGTACTATAATGCATATCTCCCTGGTGTAATTCTGAGGCTAGAAAGTATTAGAAATATTTGCATTAGGTGCGACATGTTTTTCCTGTTAAAAATACTTGGTTTAGCTCTCGGGTTCTTAAGGCTGTCTTTTACCATGTTATCTACATATCTGATGCACATGCAAGATAAGGTGTTTTAATCAGAGAAGGCATTGTGATTGGTTGTTTGCAAAGAGCCATGCCTGGACCAAGCAAAAACAAACAATGCTTTCTTTACCATCATGGCTATCGTTTGTTGTACTCAGACGTACCTTTTCCAGGCACAAACTAGAAAGGCCTCCTTTGATCTTATTTTTTATTAATGGTGCATGGCTTCATTCTTACCCACAGTGGCCTCCCTGATCAGAACTGGATAACTATGTTACTGCTTTCATTATGGTTTCAGTTTCAGAAGCAATCAGAAATGAAAAAAATGTATATCTTTGTCAAGAATCTGAAGCAGAAACCTGCAAAGCTCCCTTAACAACCCTACTTCTAAATATTTTAAAACACACGCACTGCAAATTCTAGTAAATGTTAATGGAATAATATAAAAATATATTTCTGTCAGATCAGTTATGAGTGCTGCCTAATTCTGCACACTGGAGAGCCAACTGGACATGAATCAGAGGAGGTCAGCACCTAACCTGAGATGGACAGGCCTATACATAAATCTGACTGAAGCTTTATGAGAACAGTATAGAGTGGTAGACACGCACAACACAAAATATAGAGTATGGGCTGCTAACTCAAAACTTCTGTCAGGTCAATTCTCGAATGTGTAAAACCACTCTGAGCACTCAGCAAAAATCTTACGAAAACGCAACTATGTTCTGGTCTACCTCAAGCACATTCCAATACGGTCACACCCTAGCAGCTTTTTTTTCTTTTCGGCCCTTGGACACGGTGTCCTTTTTTCGTTTTAGCCATTTCACGTGACCAACCGACTAGGCTACTCCAACGTGGTGCCCTGGCAGCACCACAGAAGGAATCACGAAGACCCTGAACTCCAGCACCAAACGTTCTGTCCGTGGCAAAAATGAAACACAGGCGGTCCACTGTGAGTGGGGCTTACCGGTATGGGTTCGAATGTGTCCCTGCAGCAGCCAGGGTCTGGAGAAGGCCTTCCCGCAGGTGGTGCACACACAGGGCAGGGTGTGGGAGCGGATGTGCATCTTCAGCGCTCCCAGGCTGCTGTACTCCTTGGGGCAGTGCTTACAGCGCAAGGCTGGCCGGGGGACCACAAACCCTTCATTCTCCCCAGCGTGGGACAGCTGGTGGCGGGACAGTCCGGAGGGGGTGCTGTAGGTCTTGCTGCAGCGGGGGCACGGGTATCGGTCCGTGGGCTCGGGGCTGGGGGGGTCCGAGGTGCGCCCCTCGTCCTCCTCGCTGCAGCTGGACTGGGAGCTCACCTCCATGGGGTCGGCCGCAGAGGGGCTGGTCTCCGAGGGGTAGAGGTTCGGGATGATCCCCACATCCCACACCAGGCAGGCGGAGTAAGAGACGGAGCCGTTCTCCCCAGCTGGGAGCTCCACCAGCGGGTACCTCTCTGGCAGGACAGGCGGCAGCGAGTCTGCAAATTCAAGGAGAGCCAGTTAGAGGCAGCTCGCTCCAAACCAAGTACTTTCTGCATCCCTCAACAGCGCCGCAGTTTGCACGGTGTTTGTTTAAAGGTTATCGGAAAACATGAAATGTAAATTAATTTAACTGTACAGGTACAAAAAGTGACTCAAATAGCTTCCGAAAAGGATCTGGCCTGCCTACAGAGCTACATTTGCAAATAGGTCGTGACTCAGTCATTTCAGTCTTGCACAGGTAGTTAAATCTAACGAGTCTGGCATATTCTGCTGAAAATGAGATATCCTCTTCTGTATTTTCCCTAACAGTGTAGTACTCCATGTGATGAAGCCAGTCTTTTTTAAAGAGCGTTCAAACTACCTTTTTTATTTCAAGACAAAAGTGGAACCAATAAAAACGCCAATAACCCTTCCGCTGGTGTTTTTCAAGCGTCGTGGGATTTTGTCTGCACACCTTGCTCCCAACAAAAGGTGACATACTTAACGCTGCGTAAAATCGCCAAAGTTATTACCTACAGCAAAAGGCAGCCAATTAAGGGCTGTTTCCTCTACTGACCCATTGACATGGGGTCGTCAAATCACCAGGAAACCGCTAATTTCACGAGGCTGACTGGAAGGTCAAAACTGATACCCCCTGCACTCAAAAGCGCGCAACGTGCACTTTGCATCCTAAGATCTGATTTCTAAAAGTCGGGTAACTTTTTATTAGCAAAAGACCGATATCAGTTAAAAACCTGCCTTGAACTTTATTTTTCTGTACACGACGACATAACCCAAAAACTCTGCACTCAAGGAATGCCGTTTGCAGTGCCATCACCGCACTGTGTAGCTATCGCCGCACAGACAGATCCGCTCTGTGGAGTACTCTGCTCCAAGTTGACCCTATGCAAGACACGTTTCTTGCGGGTTTCAGAATACTAACGAAACGGTTGGCAAACGATACATAGTTCCTGCTTCAGAACTACATAACGTATTACGACTTTGCACGTTTAAGACGAAACTCCTTAATATGACAGCTAGTTTTGATTTATCACATTGGTGTATATTTAGCACCGATCTGTTGTCACATCAGCACCCATTACTGTATTCTAAGCGGTTGCAAGCTGGCTTTCTTAAACATACACATACAACAAGATACATAGAGTACCATTTAAAAAAAATACTTACCAGCTTGTTTTGCGAGCTTGCTGTAATTCGGCTTCTTGTTGGTGAAATACTTCTTCACGAGGAAAGATCGAGGCATGTTTTCTTAATAGTGGGGACAAAAAAGGATGAGAAACGCAGTCTTGATGAATAACTTTCTCTGCAGATTGTGGGATCCAACGTCAGCACAATGTCCTCACCAAGAAAGAATCCCCTTTAACACATCAGGGGAAAGAGGCTGAAAAAAGCCAGAGACTGTCCGCCAGCTCCTTTGAGAATGGGAATTTATCTTGAGCTCAAAGCTGGTCCACCGCTCGCAGCACTTGGGTGGAGATGCTCGGAATGACCTGTTTCTTAACTCCGCACGCAGTCCGTGTCACTCGTGCTTAAGAGTGAAAATTGTACAATCCCTCCCTGGTCCGTTTCTCAAATATTCTCCCAGGATGAGACAGGGGGCTGGGGTGTGCAGCAGCAACTCCGCCCAGAGGACACCCCCTGCAATCGGACACTAGGGGGGCGGAGCCGGAGCGGCTCCAAAACAGGTGCCCGGAGGCGCGAGGTGGGAGATCCACGTGGTGAACGTCTGTCGTGTTTATCGAGATACACACAGAAGGAATGTGATTGTTTTTCTTCATATTTAAAATCACATTCCAATCGAGATTATGTAAATACTTTGAACACAGTGCATTGCATCGCCTTCGCTACTTGCCGAACTATACAACAACGCAGTGCTGCAGGAAGGAATGCATGAAAAGCTCAGGAATGCATGTCCATTTTAGTTCTCGTTGTCGTTGTTGTTGTTGTTAAAATCTTCTCAGTTCTGCCGTTCTACCGTACAAAATATGACACAAAACACAACATTTTCCCATTAGGCTTCCATTATCACGAGAAACATTTTCCTCTAAAACAGACAACTACTTCAGAAATACGTGACAGGCCTGCGACGTTCCTGCAATATAATTATTTGTTTAGAATAAGTATCTAGGATACCGTGATCTTAAAATAAATGCTTTTTTAAAAGTTGTAGTAGTGTTAAAGTAATAGGCAATACTACGCTAAGCAATTTGTGTAAAAAAAACAACGGTGCCCACCATGTCATCTCTTTAGAATTCATACATGTATCTCTAGAATTTGTTAGGTAAAGACCTCAGAGGCAAAGTACATTCCGAAGTCCAGAATATACAGTACAATTCAATGGGCCTATACACCTAAACCATTGACATACATGATCAATAAAAGCAGTAATGTGCTCTGGTGTAGAGACGCGAAACACAAATATCAAATTACTGTATCTGTGAATCTGCAGTAAAGAATCCGAAGTGTCTGGATAATGATGTAATGTTCATTTCCGAACTGCGCTGCTACAGTGTCCCCTATCGGCACAAAAGGTGGTAAATTGTAAAAAAAAAATAGTTCAGTTGTTATTTTAATGAGTGCACCGTGATATTGCAACGTATTTAAAATGGAACACGTATATTAACACTATTCCTTTAGCGTTATAGAGGGTCAACATAAATGTGAAAAGATTTAAGCCTGTATTTAAAATATAACTGTTTCTTTACTTTAAAAAACTAAAAGTCACTACTTTGGATGTCGGGTTGTTTGTTTACTGCAGCAGAGACATTCAGTCTGGAGTTCCCCAGGTAAAATAACCGGTAGGAGGTAACTCATGAATAGTTTATTTTGAAATCCTTTACTTAACCATGTAGGTCACCTTAGAACAAATTATCATTTACAATGCCGTCCTGCAGAGTCCCCATTCATTCAATGATACATTCCTACGGTGGTGCAATTTGAGTGAAGTACTTTGCTTAAACGCACTACCGCAGCGTCCCATGTCCACAAGACCCACAAGTCTTAGGTCTAGAGTCTAGAGCACCAAACTACCCACTCCCCCAGGGAGATATAAGGTCCCAGGAGCAAAATCGTTCTCTAGATCTCCATTAACAACACGACTACTACTGACAAGCAAACAAACGCATAAACAAATCACCTTATGTACATAACAACCACAGCGGTATCTCCCTGGTACCTAATGCCAGAATATTTCAATCAGCACCAGTAGTTCCATGCACTGAACATCGCATGGAGCAAAAAGGCAGTCTGATTTCAGACCGAGGAAAATAGGGACTATTGAGTGGAGCGTGTTCTCACTAACATCCCTTGGGAGTCCTTGAAGATGTGACTTCCCAAAGTTACAGTATGTCAAGTGCGCGCCCAAGCCTTTAAAAATGTAACATGACTTAATCAATCAGACCTTGGAAATAATTGCTAATTGTTTTTCATTCAATTAAAATAATTGAAGACGTATTGGAGACACGGCAAAGTAAGCACCACAAATCACAAATCACAGTTTTAGCTGCACGAAACTGAAAAGTTGCTTATGTTAATCTATTACAAGAAAAAAGTTATCTTTTCATGGTTTTGCACAGTGCAGCGGTGCAAAGGCGCCGTGACTCATTGATAACTCGAGGAATGCATTCTCTCGTCTGTCTGCTCAGCAGGTGAAAGGTGAAAATTAACAGAAAATAGAGTTAAACAATAAGCTTGCTCTCTAAATTATCCTCGCAAACTCGATTATTTAACCGGATTAATTTCAGAGGCGCTTATCAGAAGTGTTTTATTCCTTCTTTTAAAAGACTCTTACACCCGCATCATTCTGTGTTCTGGTTACTTATTTGCAATCGTCGCATAGTTCAGAGTACATTTCCCTCCAACATTTAGAGCTTCTTTTAGGGCAACACTGTATGGTTCTCTAAAGTTTGTCTATTTTGTTTTTAGCATGCAACTTTTAGGTGATTTGACTAATAAATACAGCTCTGTACTTCTTTCTTGTTGCTTGATCGGTTTAGAATGATATGTGGCTCTCAAACCGACGCGGCTGAATTGAAATGTTCAGATGTCTGTCTCCGACATGAAAATTATTTTGCAGGATTTTGTACAATGTAGGTTTATCGGCCTTTTGTCCAACACTTGTATGAGGTGAAAGATAAAAAGACTCTTCGCCTCTTCATCCCTATGCTACATTTATATAAACGTTGCTGCGATTCAAGCCCAAATTGCTCGATCTTCAAAGAGCATCCCCTTCCTGTTAGGTGGGACAAATGGCTTCCTCTAACTCGTAACTTTTCATGTTCTTTTTTAAAATCCTGTTAGCTTCCTCTAGGGGGCGGAATTAACTGTTTTATTTCTTAGTTATGTTTTTAGTATACGGTAAAATTATGGATTTATTCACTGGACCAAAGCTCTTCTGTCTTCTGCAGTAAATCTCGAAGACACTTCTCCTGGGTGTTTTATGTATGGATGTCCAGATACTACATTATACACTATACATTTAAGAGACTTTTTAATTAGACTAACAAAATTAAACATCAATTGATTCAGCAAATACAGGTACAAATATCAGCTACTGTACGAGAGACCTGTACATTGTTCAAATTAATGATGACACCGGGTCTCCTTGGGTTTCCTATGACATACTGCTTTTATTGTAGTTCATGTGATATTGTTTTTGTATTACTTCCTCCTTTTCTGCCCTCGAATTTTGTTCTACCACACGTGTACTCTGGTCTGCATTAACGTGAAAAAAGAAACCTCTTGAGGTGAAACAAAGAAGCATAGATTAGCGAAGAAATCAGTTTGCAGAATGCTTTTTTTCCAGAGTTTAGTTATGGTTTGTCGCAGTTTGCTTGCAAGTGAATGAAGCAGTGCACCAAAGACCGTAATTTCCAGATGCTATAGTAGGAATCCTCTTGACAAAAATACTGTGGCAGGCTGTGTGCAGTGGAGCGTGTATAAGCCAAGGCCTGCGTGCAGTGTCATCATAATATTCCTTTAAACATGGAATATTTATATATGTTTAAACATGAGAGCTCCAGTATAGGAGGGCGTAATGACCGTAGCCGAACCTTTAACGCTCTAACGTATTATAAGACCTCTGCTGAGACAAATGGTATGTACTGTATGAATAGAAAATACGGTACAGTATGTACACTATTAGTTATGTCGTTCCGAACGAGCTTGATTGATGTTATAATGTAATATGTAACCTCTATGAAGCTGCTGGCTACATAAGGACACTTTCAAATTAAGCATTACACTAAGTACATTTCACCTAAATTAAACTGCATTATTAACCGTTATAATTGTTAGTAAACAAGAGTGGAGGCTGTGCGTAAAATGTTGATATGTGGATATCAATGTGGATATCATACATATATATTTTAACTCCTATCGGGGTCTAAGATACATATATAAGACTTGCACAACAGGGTGTAGATATTTAAGGCTTCTTCATTTGATGTAAATCCTTTCACATTTTATTTAAACTGCTTTAACTCATTCCTCCTCTGTATTCACAAACAATACAATGAACAAACTGGGAACACTCAGGAAACATTCAAAAATTCAGCACTGATGATTAATAATTCTTCTTAATAGATTACGGATTAATATGTGAACTTGATGCAACACTTACTAATTTCATTGCATGTATGCCCAATTGTGTTTTTAGGCTGAGTGTCCAAAATGGTCTCCTCTTTCCTGCAAAAAAGATGTAATTAAAATCTATTATTAATTTAAGTCCTTTATCTTAATGTAGGATAATCACCTTAATATAGGAACATCATTTTTATTTGATGTTCATTATACATGTAGCAAAACTAAATGTATTATAAAAATGTTTGAGACACATTGTCTAACACAAGTCATTCTCAATAAAATATTTCATTCACTACCCAAACTTCCTCTTGATCCATCATTATAAGCTGTATCTTGTTTTAATTGGTCCATATTAATAACATGAAATAAAGAATGAAACCATTTTCTTAATCTTTATTATTATTCTTTATTACTTTATCATTGCGGAACAATACTACAGAATCATTGTTTTTTAAAATAATGATTGTTTATATTGGGAAAAACACAATCAAACACATAAAATATAATGTGTGTATAAACAATATTCTTACACTATATACTGTATACTCTTTCAGTCACCAGTTTGCAACCAAGTAATTTTTTGTTGTGAGGTTGATTTGATTAAATTTTTGAATCAATAGGGTATTCGCAATCAGATAAGATAGCCTAAGTTCCTCCTCTTGTTTATTTCCTGTCTACCTTCTCATATCCTTTTTCACAGAAATATTGCAAAATCCATCTCAGTAAAAGTCATTTTTTGAACACCATGTGAAAGGGCAGAAGGTCAAACAAAGAACAGAGAAAATTGTGTTTTAAGAGCTAAGAGTCAGCATGTCATCTTCAAGACACTTTTAGGTTGTGTTCGTAAAACTGAACGCCATGCTTAATCATGCACAACAACATCTGGAATTCTAAAAGTGAAATCTGTCACTCAGAAAGAGCAAAAAGCTTGTAATTTCCATACTGTACAGTAGCCATTTTATGTTCAAGTGAATGTGAAA